ACTCGAATGTTCTGAATAGCTCGGAAAACGCCCTTCGATTCGAGAATGATATCCAATCGAACGATTCGTTTAAACTATGGAAGAGTTCTGGATCGGGGTCCAGCACCTGTATGTCAGACCAGGGCGTTAACCAGCAGTTATGTTGCCATTAAGATTTTGTGTCACTTATTTATGAAAGTTATGTTTTCATTTTTATAGTGGGCACGTAAGAAACAAGGTGCATTTAGAGAAGACCTGATTTTATTACTATCATTCTTCAATCGCCACTCTGCATGTTGCCATGTCAATGTAGCCAGAATAAAAAATGACTTAGTTTAGTAGATTTTATTGTTTTTCTTCTTTCTTTCTTTCTAGCCGTTCTCAACTATATCGGTGTAGGCCTCCTTCAGTTTCTGCCACTTCTCTCGGTTCTATACCACCTATATCCAATTCAACCGCCACTTTCTTTATGTCATCCTACCAACTCATCTGCGGTCTCCCTCTGGGCGTTTTTCACCCCAAGGTCGCCATTTTAGGACCGCTTTACACTAGGAGCTATGCTTTCGAGTAACGGGACCTACTTTAGTAGTAGATTATTTTATTTAGTAGATATATAATGCTGTTTAATTAAGTGAAAAGTGCCTATATTCCCAAGACTGTAAACACCGGTCTGCGTCTCAAAAATACAAAAAAAATGTCGAGACTAGATATTTTGAAACCGAAATCCCAGTATGAATCCCTAGTCATAAATTACTGTGTACTCCAATGGTACAAGTTGCCAAAGAGTCCTATCACCTTTTTATTTATGGATGGACAAAAGTGGTGTAAGTATTATACACTTGGTAAACGAGGTGAATATTATAAGAACGCTTAAATGGACTAGATCTGAGCTTAGTCTGCCTGTACTAAGACGTTGCGTATTTATGCATATTTGAAAAAAATGGCTCCAAAGTTAATTAAAAAGCCATGGTAGCCTAATGGTTTGACCAACCGCCTCTCAACTAGGGGGTCGTGGGTTCGAATCCGGACTTGCAACTCTAAGTTCCGGATTTTAAGTGCGAATTTACTATGGGCTTTGAAAACCTGCACACATCTGCAAAACCCTACTCTAAGGGGTCACCTTTGTCCAGCAGTAAGACTCTACATAGGCTTAACTATTATGTACGAGTATTATACTTAAAAACTTCCCGAGAAAAGACCACCTTGGAATAAATTTAATAGAAAGCAATAATAACAAAGGTAAGGACAGCTTGCTTCTGACAAGCTTTCACTATTCTGTCTAATTGGACAACGTGGAGAGTTGCAAATTAGATTGCAGGCTTGCCTACGAAGTCATCCATCATCGTCGATCATTATCATGCTGATAAACTAAAAAGGCATGTTGTCGTAAAAGTAATTGACTAATTGATTTTCCTTTGTTGTTTTATAATTGGCGTTCATCAAATTTAGTGTGCACAAGAACTTTACAATTTACTTCCACCCTTGCTGCTCCATCAGTCTACTATATTTTAATAGTCCAGAATACTCTAACCTTATGATTACCTTATCATTAATTTCAAATTAAATGGCAACACTGAGTTATATAGACATAATCTGAATGCCACCGGTAAATTCTGAAAATGAGATTTCTATCGAACATTTATAAGTTTGACAAATTTAAAAAAAAAGGAAACATTGGTTTAAATGGCAACACTGATTTCAATAGATATAATATGAATGCCACTGCGAAATTCTGAAAATGAGTATTGTATCGACAGCAAAATGAACATTTATAAGTGCGACGGATAATTAGTGAAAGTACTGAATTACATGGCAACATTTATATTGACTTACAACCTATCTCTTTTAGTGCTTCTCTTCCTCCGGTGTGGAGGTGAAGGAACGGAATAACTGCCGGCATTCGTGTTTCCCGGAAGCCTAAATTTAGGGCTATTATAGGTTAGAGAAAATAGGTATTCAGACAAGCACTTATTCTCAGGTGCCATCTTTGGCCATGGCCGTCACCAACGTTTCGAGCTTTTTACAGATCCCATAGTCACGGCTGACTAACATGACCACGGGACCTATAAATGGTCTGTAACGTTGGTTTGTTTGAAAAAACAAATGCGTATATTTAGATCCGAGAAATAGTTTTATTTTCAATGTGTAACAATCGCAAAAACCTAAGAACTCGATAAATAAATGCAGAACTTAAATTAGTCTAGAACTTACAGAATCTGCAATAGATAATTCTACCACTGTTATTCTAAATAAATACTCTTATTATATTATGCCCTTTTGTACATGCATGACGCAATAAATTGACATTTTCAAAAGCGAGTAGGGACCCAATTTTCTTTCTAATCAATTAAGATATCTTTAAAAGCATTGTTGAGCTCTAGTCAAAGTAGGTTATTAGAATAATTGTAAACCAAACAATTTGACGAACCGAAGTAAGTATAAAATTGGCGTAGCAAAACAATTACTATACGTCGGCAGGTGGGCGGCCAACGCGGGCGCACTTTCTCTCGAATGCCATTGATAACGACCTGAGCAACGCCCCTCTCGAGTACTTTGTGATTGTCGTCGGCTATTTTGCCAACGACAATCACAAATAGATTGATTGCGAACTTTACTACAAATGAAGGCCCTTGTTTTTACTCTGGGCCTCATTCGCGACTTTTACAAGGCATTGTCAGATCCATCCTCCAAGACTCTAACGTCTTCCCAAAGTTCGATTCAATCCAGTTGGAATCTTTACACTATTTACCTCCCTCCTTAAAGATAGGAGCCATGTCTTGCTATGGTTACTCAATTTTTTTTTTATAATTTGAGTATTATCATCGTCCCATTTAAAAGCCAGGCTCTTATCGGTGTAACCTTCTCCATTCCTCTCGCTGCATAGCCAGCTCCTTGATCTCTTTATAGTCACTCACTTTGATATTCATCTTTGTTTGTTCACTGTACTCTTGAATAAAATCACCGTATAAAATATCACGATAATCTGTTTATCAGTACTATTCTTTAACTACCTTATGCCACTGACATGCCCTGCGTAATCAAACCCTTGTCACAATCTTTATGCAACTAGTCTCAACTGAACGATAGATATCTTAAAAGCTGTTGTTCTTGTAGCCGTGTTATTGAATATACGTATCTCACAATCAACTGATCTATCGGGATCTATTTCGATGAATTTGGCCATTGTTTTACTGCGAAAGTCAAGCGTAGTCCTTCCATTGATTGAAGACCCCTCTCCCAAGACATGTTACAAGATGTGATTCTATTTGATTTGCTGACGGGTTATCTTTTCCGTGTAATTGAATTGAGACACATTAACGTGCATTTTTAATGGCTTGGAGATTCCATGAATGGTTGAAAGTATTCGCAGATATTGAAAATCATAGAGAAGTACTAATAACATTTTTAGGCACCAATTAAATTACGAGCATTTCTAAATGTTTAGTACCAATACCGCTCGTTAACGGTAAATGAAAACGTGATGAAACCTGCATGTGGAAGAAGATTCACAACCCTTGGAAAACGTGTGATGTCCCCCACCCGCAATCTCATTCCCCTAAAATCCTGACTAATGATGATGAATCTGAGATATTTAACGTGTTATATCAAAATATTTTGTAACACATAATAATGAAGTTCAATAATCTGTGTGTCCGTCACAGTGGCCGGCTACTCTCTACTTTCACTGTCCACAATGGACCGCTCAGTTTATCATTTTTTTCTACTTTTATTTTCATATGTTCTGTGGTATTAAGTAATTGCTGTGGTTGTTAATAGTTCTTTGGGATTCTATTTAGCAAAAGCAGTATAATTGGAACGAGTTATCAAGTTGTATTGGGTGTAGCTTTTGTGGGCTTAGTATACATTGAAGATGTTGGTATATAGGGGTTAATTTGGGTTGATTTAGTACTAGAGTTGAAATATTGGTAGCTTATGAGAAATAATCAAGAATATTCAAAAAGAAAAATCTGACAGCTTTCAACCAGAAGAAAAGCATAAGTATTATTCTTAAAAGTCGTTTAAAACCAAAAATAAAGATTTGCAACATGTACATAGAAAAATTTGTAAGGTCTGCTGGTTTGTTCCGAAGCTCAGTCAGAGAATAATTAAGTAAGTTCAGCCGGGAGAACGTCATCCACTATATGGTGAAGGAGCAGGTTTGAATCCAGCCGGATCGGAATTTCACAAATAAAAACAGACAATGGTAAAACATTGTGTAAACTTAATATTACAATTATTTTTTTTTAATACCCTTTAACACATGTATATTTTGTGTACTAAAAAGATAGCTAACCTACTTTGAACATCTCAAAGAGCCGCTAACAATGCGGTATTATAGTCAATCAAACTTGTACAATGAAGGTTATGCTACATTCAACATTGAGCATAAACTAGCCATGAAATTTTAACAACAGCGCCAAGCAGGTGTTCCATCAAATTGCACTATCATGCACCATTCATGTTTGATCAAAATTGCTCCTATTTCGTTCATTAGATCAACATCGTGAAACAACACGAGTTATTTTGAGAAACTCCGAGAAAGTGCTTGGCTTATTTTGTGCTAGTTTTGCTTGGGTGCGTGAAAATATATATATTTTAATGTTATTTACCATTATTCTTTTGATACTTTTCTGTACATTGATTAAAACGGCAAAATTAAATAATACGAATAAAATAATACGCTTTAATGAAGAAATTTAATATTCTGTTTTATTAATTAAAATTGAGATTATTTTATTCAATACCATGATATTTTTTTATTTAAATGATACAAAAGTCGATCGATCGATCAATAAAAAGATCTGCAACAAGCTCATAGAGAAATTCATAGGTCTGCTGACTCTGGTCTGTGGCTCAGTTGGTACAGTCACATAGAAGGATTTTTTAAATGTTTTTTGATCTTTGTGTCAATAATAATAAAATCAATTGATGAAATTAAATTTATGACAGCATACTTCTTCATTCTTTTGAATTTATTTCCATTTTAAAAGTCTCACTAAAACGTTTTCTTTTTGTTACAGATTTGTCCAGTGATACCAGTGGATCGACAAGAAACCAACATCAGCGAAAATAGTGTTGTGCCTTGCGCCATTACAAAAACATGACAAGGACGTAAATAATTAGCCCAGTAACAAAACATGCACATTTGAAAGTAATAAAAAATCAAGATGACGTCCATCATATTGACTTTGTTGGGTGCAGTGCTTAGTGTAGTGGTAGTGCAAGTGTTTGGACACGTGGCTTTGACCTATCCGCCAGCGAGAAGGTTCGATTTGGACTTTTTGGACAATTCCAGGACGAAAGCACCATGTGGCATGCCCAAAGGTAAGCATCATTGTTAATATTTAAATAATTGCAATGTAGACATTTTGTTACATTACAATTACCATCATATTTTTTTATGACCAAATAAATATTTCTTGTATATAATAACACTTAGAGTTAATAATACTTAGAGTTTATACAAATATTCAGTTGCCATTCGGTATTCGGCTTATTCAGTCTGTTTTTGTTATTCGGCAGAATACCGAATACCTAAAAACAGGAGGAAGACAAAAAACATAGGAAATTATCATGTAAATTATATTAATACTGAACATACAAAATCATGAAAGCGCAAGTTTTCGCTTCTTTCTATAAAAGATTGAAAATTGTACCATGACCAAGTTATTTTTCTAAGAAATCAAAAAGGTATGTCAAATAAAAACTACGTAAGTACAAAAGTAACATGTCAAAAAAAAAAACTACGTAAGTACAGTCAAGAGCACGTCAAGCTTGATACTTTGTACTTTGGACCATTCATATCGTAAGCGGCATAGAATTGGATTTAAATCTTAAGTGTCAAACTTGACGTACTCTTGACCTTACATCATAGTTTACTCATGACTAAATAAATGCTAACAAAATCGACCAAGTAGGTATGTCTTATAATTTACACACGCCAAAATAAAATTAAGTTTTTGAAAGTTAATCAATTTAAATCAAACTGAAGCGAAAGAGATAATTACTTTCTTCATTAAGTCATAGATTATAAACTTTCAAGTACCTACCGTTTTTGTTTTGTTTTCGTGCCAATTTTCGTACGTGTGTTAATCAGGCCGAATAAGCGGTATACGGCCATTAGCCGAATTAACTATTCTTTGCAACCTTACTGAGTTCACTCTTTACTTTTTCGGTTTCGGTTTCGCTCGTACCTCAGTACGTGCCGTATGGGTCTTTCGTTTCGAATCACATGCACCTTGATTTATTAATAATTACATTCGCGGTGAAGAAACATAAACTTGCTAGGGACAATATGTGATTATACTGCATCATCTCTGATTCTTTTAAAACGATACGTGATAACATTTCGTTCTCATCAGCTGCATACACGGATCAGTAATTTACTTAATTTACGATGCCTAAATTGGCTAATGGGCATCTAGGCGGATTGCATTGCAGTTCGGATTAGCCGCAACCTTGTGGGTCATTGCTCTGTGTGACTCATTGTTACTTTCGTGTTTTGATTCATCTTAGAGCGGTTACACACGGCGACTTTTAGCAGCGCGTATGCAGCGATTCAGTCGCGCTGCGGTCGCTAATCGTCTACCTTTACACACACGCGCGGCTTAGGCAGTCACCACACTTATCGATACGGAATAGCATTAATCCGATCAGAAAAAGCTTTAAGTCTATGTAAGAAGAATGAAAATGACGCTGTGCGTTTCGCGTCCGCGATCCCGATCCGAGCGGAAGCGAAACGCACAACCTCTTTATCGCTCCTATTGCATAGACAGTTAGTTTTTCTGACCGGCTCAAGGCTATTCTATGCGAATAAATGTTGTGAGTCCCTTAAGGCAAGTCGCCGTAAGAGAAGCGGAAAAACTGTTTTGCTAGATTAAATGGTTTAGGTATTTACCACGGATTTATATGTATATTTCATAAACTGGATCGCGTACTTCGTTATACCAATTACTTTAAGCTAATGTAAAAAACCGAGCCACGTGAGATAGCTCGAAGTAGTAGTGGTCTGTCCTTGTCTAACAAGTTACCAACGCTAAATAAAATCATCTTCTGTTCTAGTCTATCAACTTTTTTAATTAAATAAAATTAGCTTAAAGGTGCTTTGACTGCAATAATACAAAAAAAATGTATCAACAATAAAACCTTCTATTATCAAGTAGCATATCAAATAAGTATACTAATTTGAATTATGAAATAATATTAGTAGTTTTGGTCATCCATAAGCGGCCACATTTTCTGTAAAAATTAAAAAGTTACAAACAATATGGCTGGCTGAAACATGAATGAACACCCTATTAGAAAGAGACGCATTACTACCTGAGAATCTGCTAAATTTTGATTTTCAACTGAAGCCCTATAGTTATTGAATTTAATCTGTGCCAAAATTTAAACTGCTCAGCGGTTTAACGACACGCCGCGTCGCCCGCTGCTCCCGTCAGACGCCATCGGGCGCTTGTCGACGTCGGAGCTGTGTCAAACAAACGCGATGCATGTTTTTAATGATTGCGATGCGAGTGCATCGATGAAGTTGAAACGCGCTGTTTGTATCGCAGTTGAAACTCACCGTGTGAACCGCTCTTAGTTTCGATTATTTAGTTTCACTATCTACCGATTATATTGACTCCGAAGGTCAACATCTCTCTGGGCTTCGACACTTTGGACTATTCTAACCGTAAGGTTTGCATTAGAAACCTGATTCTGCCTAATGCTGATTTTACGTAACATTAAATTTGCGACAACCTAGGCTAAAACTTAGATAGTGAATGTCTTATCAATACTTTATATGTATATTATAGTGATTTTTACTATAGCCAAAACGTTCTTATTAGATACCTATACCTATTTCTCTGAACCCAAAACTCCTAAGCTACCACGAACTTGAATTTTGGACAAAGATGAATAAAAATCCGAACCCAGCCGGATCGAAGGAATTTTTTCTGAGTGTTCGATCTTTGTATTAATAATTATAACAAACTAGTGGAGTAATTTCACATAAAAAATAATTGAATATCAATTCAATAAAAATTTGAATAAAAAATAACTAAAAGTTTAAATATCATACATTCAAGTTAAAATCAGCCTAAAACTACCATGATTTCTCGTTTTTTTTTATGTAAAATAGACACGTACTTGGGGTTGCTAGGTCTTGAATCCGAACAACCGGAAATACCTGCCATATTACAAGCCGGACTATATTTTTGAGGATTTTGTGTGCAATTTTTTTTGATTACATTAAAATCAGGCTTTTTTGATCATTTATCAAAAAAATTTCTTAAATTGTAATAACAAAAAACATTATTAAAGTGTTATACATTATTGCGTCGAGACCTCCCTCTCGAACGACCACGTGACTGCTCAAATATTTAAAAGGTTAACAAAAGCCGGACAAGCCATTTAATTTGGCCGGACACGCATCCAAAAGGCGTAACTATGTTCTTTATCTGGCAATCTTACCTACGCTTAGTCACTATCATATCACCGACAAAATGCTTATTCATTCTTCTTGCCTTGCATAGCCCCAAATTGTAGCTATCGGGAAAACACATAATGCTGTACTTAAGGCTCGCTTTTGGGAATTAACCAGTTTCGAAAATACCGGTAAATTCCGGTACTGACGAAGTGCAATCAGTTCCGGTACCGCAATCATAGTTTCCCAGTACTCCTAGTTATAAGCAAGGAACTATCTACCTATTGAGCTATGAATGATATCGCCCGTTGGCAACTTCGCACTGGCGCACGTTACTGCCATTATAATGCTACTTAATCTTATATGACAATGTGATTTTACGATATTAGGTTATGTTAAATTTAATAGTAATTAAAATAAAAATAAATAACGCACACACTCAACATAGCCCCGCACTAGGGAAACCCTGTGTCGCGGGTACCATGGACACACACATAGACAACCACAAATTACACCCAAACTCACGAGAGAAAGAAATGTAAGCCATACAAACATTTCTCCCGGCCCGGGAATCGAACCTGGGACCTCTGCGTGGCAGTCCGGCATGGTAACCGTTCGGCCACGGAGGCAGTTAAAGTAATTATCTCTTAAATAGATATTTTACATAGAAGTCTTTAGTATGAATAGAGAATAAAGTTTTTGTTTATTATTTATGGTATTATTGTTACATAAATTATTGAATAGGTACGGATAACCTGGAAAAGGCATACTTACTGCTTGCAGTTTAAGCTTTACAAGAAGTACCGGGAATACCGGAGTACTGAGCTGAGTCCTGCACCGGGAATAAAATTTTAAGAACTGGACCAATTCTGCAATCCCTAGCTGTACTGTATTCCTTTTACCATACCGATATATCTATCATAACTTGGATGACGATTATTTAAAGTAAATGTTAATGACTATTACAACTGTACTTTGAATTAGGACGGACCTACACATCTGTCGAAATATGTTTCAGTACTAAAAATACAAACCATCTCGCTAACTACATAGCAACTACCATAATTAGTAGGCTAATAGCTATCTAGGCAAATTGCAGTGATTGCTGGAAATACTCGTAGATGTTGCAGGCGACCTCGGCAATAGGTCATTGCTCTGCGTGTTTAATCTTAGCATGAAAAATTGATTTGTTTTATGTGCCCAAATTTAAGAATTGACTATGAATAATTTATATGACTTTTAATGAAACTAATAGTATTAAACCTACTAAAAACATTATTATTTAATTTTATGCAGCACTAGAGCTCCTTGTGAAAGAGTTCGTCCAGGGAAGTACTGCCGCCATGCAGTAATGTTAACATTGCTACATTCCGATTTAGAAGGGTAGGGGTGCTGGTGAAATTACAGGCACATGAGACTTGTCAACTTATGTCTCAGGGTGACGGGCGCAGAGGCAGTGCCTCTCAGATCTTTGCCATTTAAAGCTCTGAGTGGCACTGCAACTGTCATGGACAGGCGTGTCACTTACCATTAGGCGCACGACTTGTTCGTCCCGTCACTTGATAAAAAAAGCCCATCTAGGCTGGCAATATTTCCCCTTTTGTTGGCTATGCTTTTTTTTGACGGAAGAAGTTAGTATTTTCAATAAAATATCAACTGTACAATGTTGCCTTTTTTAAATGATGGATGACGAATTTGTTCAAAGATATTGTACAAAGCAATGTCTGTAATAAAAATAGTGTTCATTCTAAAGCGAACGCTAATTTCGTCAAGGGCGCCATAGCAGTCGTGGCCGAGTGGTTAAGGCGTCTGACTCGAAATCAGATTCCCTCTGGGAGCGTAGGTTCGAATCCTACCGGCTGCGGGACTTTTGATAAAATGATCTTTATATGGAATTAAAAATCCGATTTTTTAAATCATATTTTGTGCAAATATACCTACAAATAAAAGCGGAAATTATGGTCCAGGAAAACAGTGGGAGATTGGTCGTATAGCCATGGAAATAGCAGAGGTGTATACTTTAGGTCGTGACAGGTCAAGGTTCACTAGGCTTTATTAGCTACAAGCCCTAAACCAAGTAACATCGTTACGTACGATCTAGAACGCGAACTATTTACATGGTTTACAGTTACGATTGTTGCAAGGGAAGGCAAATTGTACAGCACCCCCCAGCGGTCACATGAAGAACTCAAGTTTTCTAAACAATTATTTTTCGCAATCTTTAAAATAAAAATGAAGTAACCTTGCTACAGGCGCCATTTTCAATTCCACCTAACTGTATGTTCTATTCATATATGAGAAATTCTTTGTACTATTGTGCCGGCGGCGGGTGTAAGGAAATTTACTCTTAGGCACTACCCAACACCCAAAGAAACAATTTTGAAAAATTTGTTTATTAAAATTTTGTCCATTAAAATTTCAGTAGGTAAATATTAAGGTTGTCCATTCTCATGCAAAATCTTTGACATAATATTCGAGTCCAAAAACTAAAGTTTTCCTACTATAAAAATATTAATATGGTAGGGGCAATCATAGATCACATTGTTTATTTTTCTTTAACTAATATTAGTGCCCTGCGAGTCCAATTCAACAATGCCCTAAGGGGACTGATGGGGTTGCCTCGATACTGTAGTGCCTCTGGGATGTTCACGGAGGCTAGAATCGACGGTTTCCAGGCCATCATTCGGAAAAGAGTGGCTTCCCTGCTGGCCAGAGTGAGGGGCAGTACCAACAGTCTTCTTAGAGTGATAGCAGAGAGGATGGACAGCCCAATCCTTAAACATTGGATGTCCATTCATGTAAACGAAAATGAAAATTTTGCATTCTACTAACATTGTTATTTAAGTTCCTACTAACATTATATGGACATGTAGTCTGAAATAAATTCTTTCATTTCATTTCATTATTGAGTCTAATAACGAAAAAGTTGTTGGGCTCAATAACACTGTATTTTGATATTCTTTGTAAGAAAACACGAGTTTGGGCATTAATGTGGAAATAATTGTTCCATAGGACCTTAAACGTAACACCGTAAAGGTTAAATTAAGTTCTCCAACAGAGAGGGCAAATGCCGCTGGCGTTCTCCCCTTTTTGATTTCGTAGTAAAGGAAAATGCGCGCGCATTACTCAAGGAAACCTTTTGGCATATCGTTGTTACGTCATTCGACCGTGTGGCCTAATGGATAAGGCGTCGGACTTCGGATCCGAAGATTGCAGGTTCGAGTCCTGTCACGGTCGTGTGCCATCTCCCTTTTGGTAGAAAACTTTATTTACAGAAAAACTATCTTTACCATAAGTAGGTACTTTTTGGTCACTCAGTGTATACGAGTGCGATAGTCGGTGTTGTAGAGAAATAATACATTTTATGATAGGAGTTTTTGTACTGTCTAGATATTTAATAAACCTAATCACCTAATCCATTATTTCTGCAATAGAAACAAAGAATAATGTGAAATAGTACTCTCTCACGATGTTTTGTCATAGAAGCGTGTTTTACAATGCGCGGTGCCATACAATCTGACAATATAAATTCTTATCAAAACTGTAATGAAACGCTAAGTTGGATTGAAACGCATTTTAAGCAGCGTGTGAGTAACGATGTATGCCACATTATGTAACGGAATTGTTCTGTTAAAGTTTTGAATTGTGAATGAAATATAGATAATTCTCATGTACTACAATAAAAAACTTGCCAAATCATTCAAGTGGCCGAAAGCTTTTATGAAGTGAATAGTAACGACATCTAATGCACAGTTACGTAACTAAAACAAAATGATACCGAAAAATGTTATTTCGCTATTAGACACTAGATGGCGCTGAACTTATTTTAATGTTACTGATGACTGCAAGAATGGTTATTTTTTGTGTACATAATGATGTAAACAATTTTACAGTTTCTTTTTTTTATTTCAGGATCATTAAAAACATCGTTCCTAGCAGGATCAACATTTACAGTACATTGGCATTTAGCATACGCACACCGAGTAAGTTACGGTCATTTACAAGTTTGTAAGATAAGCCCGGCTAGCTCAGTCGGTAGAGCATGAGACTCTTAATCTCAGGGTCGTGGGTTCGAGCCCCACGTTGGGCGTCGTTTTTTTGGAAGTCGCGTAAACTATTTTTATTAATTTTTGGAGGTCGCGAAAAACATTTTTATGCATTTTTAAGAACCACATTTAGTTGTTGAAGAGAAAATGAGGGCTCTAATAAGCGTGGAACTAAAATGATTTTGTTGTACTGTTATTTTTAGGGAGGGTTCAGCTTGCGGATCTTAGACGACCTTGAGAGGCCAGTGTTAGACTTGACGCCGCGCGCGGGCGGCTCCGAATTTGTTAGAGATGATGTCACGTAAGTATATTTTTGGAAGATGTAGGTATTTACCACCTTGCTGTTTTAAGCCTTTGTCCAAATTGTGGAATTTGAAAAATGTTTAAATCCATTGATAGCAACTTACGAGTATCATCACGTCAACCTTTTTTCTGGGTCCTGATTTTGATTCAAATCGGAAACTATCCGATCGGGTAGTCTCGAAATCAGATGGGTTTCTGAGCGAGAAGATGAACCTGATTCCTACTATATCTTTCTAATTTGTGAGTTAAATCAACTATTGTTTCGTTTAGAAATGTCGAAAGTTTAGCCGGTTGTGAATCGCAATTATGCGCCTCGACTCGGAAAAGACGCAGTTTCCGATCGGGAGAGGCGATCAAAATCAAGCTGCTCTTTGCCTGTTTCTTACCCGATTACGATGAAGTTGGCAGCAGTGTGAAAAGACCAAATTTTGTTAAGACTCATCGATTTTCTTGCAGAGCACAGAAATTTGAAGTTCGTCTTCCTGGCGATTTCACCTGCGAGAACTGCACACTACAGCTACAAAGGGAAGCAGGAGAATGGGGCAGCAATTACCGCTTCTGGTCGTGTGCGGACATTGACATTGTTTCACGTAAGTGTTATATTATGTTAGAGGTATTCATTCGACGTGTCGACCTACATTATCAGAGCACTATGTGTCCAATCAATGCCAAGAATTCAAGAGATTGTCAATGCGACCATGACTATACAAAACGTCATTGGAGCGCTATGGCCTTTTGGGCTCGGGATGCAGGTGTTTTATAATGTATTTTATTGTGTTGGTCGTGAACGTTTTCCACTTTTTATAATATTTTTGTTTATATTTGATTTTTGTTAATATTTAGTGTGTTCTTAATCATCTCAGGCTATGACAGAAAACTTCTAGGACTATGTGCTTTAATAGTCCTCTGTATTTAGCTGAATATTTTAATTTTTAACACTTGTTAAGTTCTCAAAGTAATGCATTATTTTTCAAAACACATGCCGGTTATTTTACGTTTGTGATGGGTGTTTGTAGTTTGCAGCCATCGTAGATTTGTTTCCGTGGCTTTGAAAGTAAAAATGTATACTTTAGCGTCATTATGCAGATATTAATAAAACTTTTTGCACTCTAATAAAAGCATTTATTCACTTGGTGGCTAGCCGCGCGACGCGAGCCGAAGGGAGGGTTCCTCTCCTCCTTCCCAGGTGGAGCCACTATGCGCGAACCGAAGCGGCAAGTTGAGATTTCATGGAGATTTTCTGCGTTATACTTTTTTATTTTACGTATAATTTGAAAAAAAAAAAAAAAATTTGTGTCGATGTAGAGTGATTTGAGGTTAATTTTGCGTTCTTGCAAATTTCATTAACTTGGGCTGAATATAAACATTTCTGCTTTTTGTCATAAAATAAAAAAAGCAGTTACGCGATTACTCCGACATTTGTGAATCGATTTCGATGATTCTTTTTGGTGGAAAGGGGGACCTCGGTAGTGGTCCCATTCAAAGATGAAGAAAATATTCCACCTCACGGGGTGGCAAATTAGGGGTTGAATCCCCTTTGACAACTTTAGTAGCAAGAGTTCCTTGTGAAATAGTTCGTCCCAGAAAGTACTGCCACTTTACCTGTTTCTGCCGCCAAGCATTACTGCGTTCCGGTGAAGGTTAAGGGTGCTGGTGAAATTACGGACACATGGGACTTGTCAGCTTATATTTCAGGGTGTCGGGTGCAGTGGCAGTGCCCCTTAGGTCTTTGCGATTTAAAACTCTGTGTTGCACTACAACTGTTATGGACAGGCGTGTAGCTTACCATCAGGCGCACGACTTGTCCGTTCCGTCACTTGACAATTGTCACTTTCTTTTTTTGTTCCATTAATGTGCCAATGTGTGTATGTATTGCTTTTTAAATTTTTCATTGTATTGTAAATCAAATAAAGTTTTTTTTATTGTCAAAACCATTGACTTACAATTATATGGACGTCGGGTCCGCCAAAAAAGTGTCCGAACTTATAGGGCGTTAAAATCGTATACAGAGCGTCATTCACGCTTTAGTCTTCGTTTGTTCGACTGACAGCGAAGCAAGCAAAATTAGACAGTACTGCGATGACATTACAATTTAAATTCAACGTTTTAGCTTTTTCATATTCCTTTACATATCACTACGTTTAAATAGGTTGACTTGGGACATTTTTTTCGTGGTTTTTGTATTAGACCCGTCGTCCATTTATTTGTAAGTCAATGGTCAAAACCCAAAATTCGTCATTGGACGTTGGTCATACTTCGTGTTTTAATAGCAAACCCGTAATACTTTACCAACCTGTTGTTATAATTCCAGTTGACCAACACATTCCGGCACGAATTCTAATCAGATAACAAACTTGTTTTAATTCACTGTAGTCGATACAAATCACTTCACTTATGCTAATTAGAAACTTAGACAAAACTAATAATTCACAATGCAAATTCATACATTGAAGCAGATTAATAGCAGAAAGTAAGTAGCTTAATAGCAGTAGAGATCCTTGTGAAAGAGTTCAATAATAGAGTTCAAACAATGTCAGCATGACTGTGTTCCGGTTTTGAAGGGTAAGGGTGCTGGTGAAATTACAGGCACATGGTACTAGTCCACATTTGTCTCATGGTGCAGGGCGCAATAAAGCTCTGAGTGGCACTGCAACTGTTATGGACAGGCGTTTAGCTTACCATCAGGCACAAGATTTGTTCGTCCCGTCACTTTATATATATATATAAAAAAAAATCGCAGCTACAAGTTAAAAGTACAAGGTTTCTATATTTTTTATTGACTATCGTTATCATATTCTTCAATTTTTTGTAAAAATATTCCACTAGTTTGTTATTGTTATTCGTAGCATGTACCTATATCTCTTCATACAAACATTAAATATTTTATTATCACTGCATAAACTTGTTTTGTTTTCTATTTTGTGCAAAGATCGTGTAAGTTCTTCTGCTGGGCAACGGATCACAGCCAGTTCACTTCAATGCTTGGCTATCTTTAATCTGTACTCTCCCTTGTTTACTCCAATTTGTACTATTCCTTTAGGTACACTTCTTTACCTTAAGTAAGCTTTCTTTTTTCCACTCTTCCACACTGTGCCGTCTTTGTCTTGCCTCTGATACACTCATACTAAACATCTCCCTTGCCTCTGATTGTTACTAGTTTACTGTGTCTGCAATTATGTTAGAAGATATTATATATATATATATATATATTCGGTTGCACCCCCCTGGAAAAAAATGCTACTTAGCAATAAGGCCGCTTGTACATTAGCTTATTGTGTGATACTTACTTTACTGGTCTGTGTTATCATTGTAATTTTTTAATGTGCAATAAAGATTATTTCATTTATTTATTAATACAAACCATCTTGTGTTAAAAAACCACAGACCATATAAAGTGTGTTAAACTATGATGTGACCAACGACTCGTGTTGCTATATTTTTTTTCGAGTCTAAAATGTTATAGATTTTAACTTGGCATTGTTTTAGCAACAGAGAAATAAACATTCTAATCGATTGTCAGGTGTTTCGAAAGACGGTAATCAATGCTAATACAGTTGTCAAAACTTGTCGTAAATATGTCAAATTTGCAATGCAATCGCGTCGCTCGCCTTGGCTCGGATTGTGATTCATTAGTAGATTTGAATTATTCTTATGAAATTAAATATCGAAAGGCACTTTGTCTTTAGTTCCTATAGTACAATATCATCCTGGTTCAGGAATTTAATTAATACGTGTTCCATTCTACTCTTTTATAGACAACTAAACCACAACTGTATGTTACGTTTAGTCACTAATATTGTAAGTAATTATGTTTTGTTATTTATGAGGTACGGAGGGAGAAAAAGACGTGGCGAATCCAGTGTCGTACCTTTTCGTTTCGCGTGCGGAAATTCAAGTGCGAAATTAAATTTGCGAGACTTACCATGAGCTTTTCAGTGACGGAAAATAGCGTGATGAAATTTACACGTCGAAGAAGGTTCAAGGCCTAAACCCTCGCCTGAGTCGCATCCCATCCATGAGCAGTGGGATGTATAAATGGGTTGAAGACGATGGAAGTAGATTTTTTTCTTGTTGAGGCCATTGTTGCCAGAAGTTACGTTTCTTACTTACGTTTCTTTTCTTACGTTTCTAAACCGTTGACATTTTTAAATTCATCTACATTAGTTATTGTAAATCCTAAATAGTTTACAAAGTTACCCAAAATGATAAAAGTGATAAATATACCTTAAGCACGTTTTGTAAATTCACTGACTTTTCTTTCTTATTCCAGGCAAAGACTATCACGAAACATGTTCCGGTCACGGTTTCCACATCCTCGGTCGTTGCAAGTGCAACAAATCGTTCTACGGACCTCGGTGTCAGTTCTCCGATGAATGTGCGGAGGACTCCGAGTGCGGCCTGAGGGGCAAATGCATTGACATCAACGCTACTGAGTCGCCCAGCAAGTCATGTTATTGTCCTCATGGGTTTTACGGAAAAGGATGCAATAAGAGTGAGTTTTAGAACACCTGCACAGTAGCAAATTTATGGACCTCCATAACGAATTCTTAGATTTTCGCTATTGTTACACATAGGAGATGAAACTATGTATTCGGATCTAAATCAGGTTCCATGGTCACGGCTGACTGAAGTGGTAAAGTCATCATTCTGTTACGTCTAATATAAATGCAAACCATCCTATTATGAACTGTAGTCGCAAAAGTTTTTAATTTAAATACCTTATGTTGTATTTCACAAGAACAATTCCTTTTAATCCGATTTAAATCCGGAATTCATTTCCTAATAACAATTCAGTTTACGTTCCAGTTAAACAAATTAATAATTAGTAGTGCAGTCTTATGTCTGCTTGGAAGTTTTCATCAGAGGAAATAAGCTGGTGATACGGAGAAACCATTTTCCCTGTTGAATTTAGAATGTTTTTTAAACTCCATTTTTTTATGCTATTATAAATTGCTATATTATAAATTGCTGCATCTGCATTGTGTCTCCTACACTGGCTATATCGCTTAATTTAAAACTCACGTAATTTTTTTTAACTCTCGTTCAAATTTCAATTCTTCAATGGAGTGTAAGCCGCGAGAGGGTGACGTTTTTCACCAATGACAATCTCGTCAATAGCGGGGCGAGAGAGAAGAGTGTATTCTAGGAAAAAATTCAGCTTCAGAAAAAAAATTCAGAAGAATAATAATGTTATTTGTAATTTCAGAGGCTCCATGGAAGGACAAGACCATAAACCTCGCTATGTACAGCCACCGTGAGCTCTCGAAGCTCTTCAACTTGTATTGGAGGATCGTCAAGGATGATCAGGAGATGGAAGTCGTTATGGTCGTTAACGGGACTTCTTATGCTGGTGGGTGATAGTTTTTGTATTATAACTAATGTAAGATAGTCTTTGGTAATTGGCTAAAGTTGCTTATTAATACCAGCTAAACAAAGTTTTACAGCTCAAGTTCACGCATTGACATCTTCAAATAGATGGTTGTTTCGTAACCTGAGTTCCATAATACTAATCCGAAGCAGTGACTGATGAAGAAAGATCGATCGACGATTCTGATGAGGATAAATTATATGTTAATCTCGACGCCTGTCACGTGAATATTTTACATATATTTTCATTATTGTGTGTTTTATTATTATTTTCATTTACAGGGATCGGTTGGCGCCCAAGTGGTTTAACAAAACAGTGCAAAAACTTCCCTGTATTAGGACCCCCTCTTGAAGACAAATGTAAGTCATAAACTTTAGTAACTAACAACAATATTTGATACCTTGCTATTGATATAAAAACTATTAATTGTATATTAACCTACCTTTTAACCATTTTAATGGTAAGTAATAAAAGCGATAATGCTCTTAAATTTTCAGCAAGCACACCAAAACCGGAACCCTTACCCGAACCGGAACCCAAAGCAGAACCCGAACCGGAACCAAAATCCGAACCCGAACCGACGCCCGAACCAAAAGCCGAACCTGAACCAACTGCAGAACCTAAGGCTGAACCAGAACCTGAACCAAAAGCCGAACCCGAACCATCCCCAGAACCAAGATCGGTTCCTAAACCATCTCCAGAACCAACCAGTGAAACGACATCGCAGGCTTCAGAAAATGACAATAGAAATAAACGCGTGGCAATGCATTCTTTAGACGGAATTGATTTTAAGGACTTTGGAGATGATGTGTCTGTTAAGACCAGCGTTTCATTCAAGGTTTCCAGCTCTAAAGGTAAGACAGACCTTATTATGTACTTAGTTTTATTTTGAAAATTACTGCAATATTCAGTGGTGAACAACAACAAGGTGGTCCGGTGATATGGTGAAGGCTGCAAGAATCTGTGTGCGGGCGATCCAAGGTGTCGTTCTTTTAGAGAAGCCAAGTAGAGGATAACAGTGGACCTTTTTCGCCTGGTAATGACGGCTTTGTGTTACATTTGTCAGAAAACAAGGATTTTGATCTCCGCCGTATTTAAATGCATTACAAGTTTCACGTGTACACCAATAGGTGCTTAGAATCTGTTTTGAAGTTAAAATTAATTAAAATACTCACTAGCGACAAGACTGATTAAGAGAGTGAGCGTAATCCTAAATTAAGTTTTATAACAAAAAATTGCCCTTTTTTTCAGGGCGACGCAAACGCGCGGCACAAGACAACCCACGTAAGTGTCTTATCCTGTAGATCATTTCATAAAATGCAATTTAACAATGAGCACAAAGGATTAACTCACAAAGTGCCACGACGTATGGAAGCAAGCACGCACTGAGCGTTACTAGAAACGTATAATTGGGGAACTAACTCTATACAGGTATTTCCAAAAGGCCAAACTAAATTAAATAAACTCCAGGAACAAAATTACACGATGAATTTAAAATGACACGCTTTTTTTTTAAAGTTTAATCAGTTGTGCCATCCATTATATGAAAAGTTTGATATCATTCGTGTGAATTTTCAAAAGTTGTATTGACGAGTAGGAAAACTCCCTAAAGATTTATCTTACCTTTTGATGCAACCTGTGTAGGGAAGTACTCCTTTTACAGCAAACTAACGCGACTGTATCTATTAATGTATATAATTATGTCCACATCGAATGGAATTGTTGGTATGTATAAATATTGTACAGCGCAGCAGATTCATTGTATTTTGTAAATATTAAATAGAACAACACAAGTAAAGTAGTGCCAAAATTAGTTATTACTTATATGCAAGATACACATATATTTCTAATATAAATATTAATTATGGGCAATAAACAAATTCGATGTGGACTCACTAATTTAAATTTGTTGTTGCATGTTTCAATTATTTTTACAGATTGGGAAACATCGACCTCTGTTAGTGTCCAAGAGAACTTTAAATCCGAACCTGGCACCACAGAACTCATTGAATCCAGTTCTCAATCCGTCACACCAAAATTAGAACAAAAAACGACCTTTAGACCTAAATTCATTCCTAGTAGACCAAAGTATGCACCAAAGTTTAGAAAATTCTCACAGCTGAACGCAACCACCACAACCCAGAAGTCTACCGAAGAATCTACAATTCCTGAACCCGAACCCTCGCCTGAACCAACCCCTGAACCAGAACCCTCACCCGCACCATCTCCAAAACCAAAATCCGAACTTGAAACTACCTCAGAAAAGAAATCTAAATCCTCGTCAACCATTGACCTAAAAAGGAATATAGAATTTACTTTTGAAGCTACGGCTGAACCAGAGCCTACTGCCGAACCAAAATCTGAGCCGGAACCTACATCCACATTAAAATCTGCAACCAAGTCAAGTACTGAGCTAAAATTAAAAGCAGAAGAATCATCTGAACCCACTCCTGAATCTGAACCAGAACCGTCTCCTGAGCCAAAATCCGAACCTGAACCTTCTCGAGAACCAAAATCCGAACCAGAACCAAAATCCGAACCAGAACCTTCTTCCGAGTCAAAATCCGAACCCTCGCCCACAGCAGAGCCTAAAGCTGAACCAGAATCATCCCCTAAACCGACATCAGAACCTGAACCAACCGCTGAGCCGAAATCTGAACCGGAACCTTCTTCGATACCAAAATCCGAACCCGAACCTTCGCCTGAACCAAAATCCGAATCTAAACGTTCTCCTGCACCAAAATCAGAACCTGAACCTTCTCCTGAACCAAAAGCGGAACCCGAACGAACCCCTGAACCAAAATCCGAACCCGAACCTTCGCCTGAACCAAAATCCGAGCCAGAACCTTCGCCTGAACCAAAATCCGAACCAGAACCTTCGCCTGA